CATTAACTGTGACCTCCGCCTATTCTTCCTCTGAGTACGTTGTCGTATGTATCACAAACGCCACATAGCGACACAATAACTTACCATTTTTTTTTAAAATCATATGCATTTTATTTATTTCTCTTAAGAGGTGTGGTCTTGTAATGTTGCCACAAGCTGGCCTGGAACTTCTGGGCTCAATGATCCTCCCACTTCAGCCTGGGACTGCAGGTACATGCCACCACACCAAGCTAATCGTGCAGCATTTTTAAGAAACCAAGAGGAGCCGGCACTAGTGACTCACACATGTAATCATAGCTAGTTGGGAGGCTGAGATCAGGAGGATCGCAGTTTGAGGCCAGCTGGGGGCAAATAGTTCTCAAGACCCATCTCCAAAATAACCATGAAAATAGACTGGAGGTGTAGCTCAGCTGGAACTTTATTGTGCACATAACCCTGGGGCTCTTTCCTAAAATGCAGACTCTGATTCTGTGGATTTGAGATGGGTTTGGTTGCCTCTGAGCTCCGACAAGTCTCCTGGAGGTGCAGATGGTACCAGTCTACCACCACACCTTGAGTAGCGTGGTTTCACCTCACTGTCCTCTACTCATCCTCTCCCAGGTTGATTTCTTTTATTTTACTATTTTTAATTAATTTTTTTGTGGAGACAGGATCTTGCTATGTAGCCCAGGCTGGTTTGAAACTCGCCATCCTCCTGCCTCAGTCTCCTGAGTGCTGGGGTTATAATGTGCACCACCACACCTGAATCTTCCAGGCAGGTGGATAGCTGTTTGTGGGCATGGAGGCATTCCTCCATTCGTCAGGACAATCTGAGGCATTTGGGGAGGCTAGGGTTTGTGAACAGATGAAGATGGAAGTGGGGAACCTGCAAGTGTGGGCTGCAGCTTCTGGGAGGGGAGCAAAGGGCTGAGGCTACTGTTCTCTCCTCCTTACCCGAGACCCCTGACCCCACACTCTCATCTGCACTCAGTACACTTGCTTTCACTGGCCCAGGTCAGAATAGGCCAGGCACCACCATCCAGGCAGATCCATTGCTGAGGGTGGACAGCGCCAAGTGCTCCCAGCAGTTTCTTCTTTTTTTTTTTTTTTTCATTTTTCTTTTATTCATATGTGCATACAAGGCTTGGTTCATTTCTCCCCCCTGCCCCCACCCCTCCCTTACCACCTCCACCCCTCCTCCCCCTCAATACCCAGCAGAAACTATTTTGCCCTTATCTCTAATTTTGTTGTAGAGAGAGTATAAGCAATAATAGGAAGGAACAAGGGTTTTGCTGGTTGAGATAAGGATAGCTATACAGGGCATTGACTCACATTGATTTCCTGTGCGTGGGTGTTACCTTCTAGGTTAATTCTTTTTATCTAACCTTTTCTCTAGTTCCTGTTCCCCTTTACCTATTGGCCTCAGTTGCTTTAAGGTATCTGCTTTAGTTTCTCTGCGTTAAGGGCAACAAATGCTAGCTAGTTTTTTAGGTGTCTTACCTATCCTCACCCCTCCCTTGTGTGCTCTCGCTTTTATCATGTGCTCATAGTCCAATCCCCTTGTTGTGTTTGCCCTTGATCTAATGTCCACATATGAGGGAGAACATACGATTTTTGGTTTTTTGAGCCAGGCTAACCTCACTCAGAATGATGTTCTCCAATTCCATCCATTTACCAGCGAATGATAACATTTCGTTCTTCTTCATGGCTGCATAAAATTCATTGTGTATAGATACCACATTTTCTTAATCCATTCGTCAGTGCTGGGGCATCTTGGCTGTTTCCATAACTTGGCTATTGTGAATAGTGCCGCAATAAACATGGATGTGCAGGTGCCTCTGGAGTAACAGTCTTTTGGGTATATCCCCAAGAGTGGTATTGCTGGATCAAATGGTAGATCGATGTCCAGCTTTTTAAGTAGCCTCCAAATTTTTTTCCAGAGTGGTTGTACTAGTCTACATTCCCACCAACAGTGTAAGAGGGTTCCTTTTTCCCCGCATCCTCGCCAACACCTGTTGTTGGTGGTGTTGCTAATGATGGCTATTCTAACAGGGGTGAGGTGGAATCTTAGCGTGGTTTTAATTTGCATTTCCTTTATTGCTAGAGATGGTGAGCATTTTTTTCATGTGTTTTTCCTGGCCATTTGAATTTCTTCTTTTGAGAAAGTTCTGTTTAGTTCACCTGCCCATTTTTTATTGGTTCATTAGTTTTGGGAGAATTTAGTTTTTTAAGTTCCCTGTATATTCTGGTTATCAGTCCTTTGTCTGATGTATGTTGGCAAATATTTTCTCCCACTCTGTGGGTGTTCTCTTCAGTTTAGAGACCATTTCTTTTGATGAACAGAAGCTTTTTAGTTTTATGAGGTCCCATTTTATCTATGCTATCTCTTAGTTGCTGTGCTGCTGGGGTTTCATTGAGAAAGTTCTTACCTATACCTACTAACTCCAGAGTATTTCCTACTCTTTCTTGTATCAACTTAGAGTTTGGGGTCTGATATTAAGATCCTTGATCCATTTTGAGTTAATCTTGGTATAGGGTGATATACATGGATCTAGTTTCAGTTTTTTGCAGACTGCTAACCAGTTTTTCCCAGCAGTTTTTTGTTGAAGAGGCTGCTATTTCTCCATCGTTATTTTTAGCTCCTTTGTCAAAGATAAGTTGCTTATAGTTGTGTGGCTTCAATATCTGGGTCTCTATTCTGTTCCACTGGTCTTCATGTCTGTTTTTGTGCCAGTACCATCCCAGCAGTTTCTTCTAAGGAGTTACAGAAGCCCCTTGGAAGGATATCAACTCTGGTTCCCCCAGCGATGCTGAATGAGAATGGAATTAATTCAAGGCCTGACTGTCCCAGTCTGCTTGGGCTGCCATGACAAAAGTTCAGATCAAGTGACTTTAGTAAAGACCTGGATTTCTTGTAACCTCAAGGCTGGAAGTCTAAGACCAGGATGCCAGCATAGTGAGGGTTCTCTTCCTGGCTTACAGCTAGCTACCTTCTCACTGTGCACACCTGTGGTATGAAGAGAGAGAGATTTTTTTTTTCTTATAAGTCCACAGTCCTGTTGGATTAGGCCCCCACTCTTATGACACTGTTGAGGCTTAATTACCTTCTAAAGACCCTATTCCCAGACACACTCAAATTGGGGACTGGGCTTCAACCCATGAATCTGGGATGAGGACATGACCTGACCTGCAAGGAGCTTCCTTGAAGGAGCATGGATGGGGCCATGCTTTCACCTGCAGAGTGGCTTTGGGTGAGTCATGGGCCTTCTCTGGCCTTACGTGGAAAATGAGAAGCTCCAGCAAAGCCTCAAGGTTCCTCCTCTCATTACAATTCTTTGAGAGTGACAGAGTTCCTTGCTTAGGGATCATAGGAGGAAAGAGTCTGCAGAGTCCCCCATGAAAGGCTGGGTCAAAAGACCTTGGCTGGATTGGTTTTTTTTTTTTTTTTTCCAGCTCTTCCGTGAATGTGCTTGGCTGTCTGTTGTCATGGTGAGAATGTCCCATGGTGCTGGACCTGGGAGACACACTCAGAATCTGCAGCATCATTAGAGAGGAGGGGTGCTGGGGAGAGGGGATGGAATCAGGGGATTCCAGCTAGGGAACAGGTACAGAATTTGCAGATTTTCTAGCAGCATTGGCTGAAGTTGAAATTTGGAGTAACAAAGGGATTTTGCAGTTCACCAAGTCCTACCAACTCCTTGGTTTTCTATTCCTGGCTTTTGTTCCCTGTAACTTGGCCAGAGGTTAGGGATCATTTTATTCCTCCAAGATTCAGCTCTCACCAGAAGGCCAGGTGTGGTGGTGCACAACCTATAATCCCAGCACTCAGGAGACTGAGGCAGGAGGCTGAGGCAGGAAGATGGTGAGTTCAAAGCCAGTCTGGGCTACATAGCAGGACCCTATCTTAAAAATAAATGAATAAATAATAGATAGATAGATAGATAGATAAATAAATCAACCTGGAAGGAGGGATGAGTGGAGGACTGTGATGTGTAACCACGCTACTCGAGGTGTGGTCCTGGACTGGCACCATCTGTACCCCCAGACGCTCGGAGTCCCAGGCCTATCTCAGATCCACAGGATCAGAGGCTGCATTTCAGCAAGATCCCCAGGGTTATGTGCACATGAAAGTTTCAGAACTTTCCCCCAGAACTGGGGGGAAAGGATGGCAGCCTAGAAGCCAGCAGACCTGGTCCTAGGGAAGGTTTCCCACTCTGTATGACACCATTGCCTCTTGAGGCCCAGCGTCTATAATATGGAGAAGTGGAATGTGTGTTTTCTAAGATGTCATTGACTTTCACCAAGAAGCTCTGCCTGGAACAGGTCAGCATGTGCTGGTGTCTCACCTGGCTTTGGAAACAATGACAGTCATTGCACCTCCCAGTCACCCTGTGGAACCTGGGGCTTTCTGAGTCAGTAAGGGGATAAGGCAACTGATGGCCTTTTAGAGACATAAAAGGTGAGTGCTCAAGGCCCTTTGGTATGATTAAACTGAGAAGGCAACATAGCCAGTTAAAAACAAAAACAAGCCATATGTAATTGAAAGAAAATGCAGAGGGGGCTGGTGGAGTGGCTCAAGTGGTGGAGTGCCTACCTAGCAAGTGCAATGTCCTGAGTTTAATCCCCAGTACCACCAAAGGAAAAAAAAAGGAAACAAGACCAGAAGGAGCTCACCTTCACTCCAGAGCCAGGGTGGGGACATGCGACCCATACT